TGTGGCTCCTGCTGCTTCTTCTGGTGGTGACCGTCGCTGTGTGTTCCCGGTGCACTGTTCTTCCATCTCCTGTTCCGTGTGTCTGTGTGCGTGAGTTGTTGTTGTTGGGAGTGGCTGCGGTGCGGATGATGATGCCACTCACTGTGGATGGGTGGCGGTGCTCGCTGTGTCACCTCTTTTCTTGGCATGTTTCTCTATTTCTCCCTCAATCACACACGAAGAAAGCAAACAAGCGCCAATCGCTACTGTGAACTTTGAAGGCGCTGAAAGGACCAACAGCACACACACCGCCCACACACACATATTTGTATGCTCTCACGTGTTGCTGCAGTGAAGGCACCCCGCACAGACAACCGTCGCCGCGTGACCGGATCGAGCGGCATGAGGAGGGAAGGAAGAGAGAGTGAGCCGCAGAGGCCCAACATGTCCCGGCATCACTTCTATTCTGCGGTGCTCCTCCTTCTAATGCTCTGCGGCAGTGGTGAAGCTGCCGCCGACGGGGACAGTAAATCAAATCAAGGAGCTTCGTCGGGAAAACATTATGTTTGGAGAGATGTGAAAGATGAAGAAGAAAAATTGAGTTTGCTCCGTGTTCCCAGTCTCGTTGAAATGGATGGTGAAGTGTTTGCCGTTGCCGAGGCGCATTGCACAAAGGAGGGTGAAAGTGATTTTACTGGGATTGCCTCGGAGCTCCTGGAGTGGACTGATGAACAAGCAAGCAAGGAGTTGGACACAACTGAATTGAAGACACAAGTACTGGAGGAATGTTCTTCCGGCGATAAAGGCGTCTGCAGCATAGCGAATCAGGCTGTTTCTCAAGGAGTGAAGAATGTACATGTGAGCCGACCAACAACAGTTGTGAAGGGGAGTGATATTTACATGATTGCTGGAAATTACAGTTGGACACTTAAAGCTGGCGATCAGGATAGTGGTGCAGCTGGCTGGGGACTCATGCTGGTGAAAGGGAACGTCAGTACTGTTGACAGTAAAAAAAGAATACTTTGGAATGACACTTACGTTATCCCGTGGAATTATAAAGGCAACCAAAATGAACCCCTGAAACGGCTGATTGGCAGCGGAGGATCGGGTCTTAAGATGGAGGACGGTACGCTTGTGTTTCCGCTGGAAGGCACCAAAAAGAAGGAGGCCGACGCCGAAGAGGATGGAAAGACTGTTTCACTTGTCATATACTCCACAGGTAATGAGGGTTGGAAGCTGTCGAAGGGGATGTCTGCCGATGGCTGCGGTGTTCCCTCCGTCGTGGAGTGGGAGAAGGACAAACTCATGATGATGACTGCGTGTGATGGTGGCCGCCGCAGGGTGTACGAGTCCGGTGACAAGGGGGAGTCGTGGACGGAGGCACTCGGGACACTCTCGCGCGTGTGGGGCAACAAACACACGGGACCTGAGAAGGGCGTTGGGAGCGGGTTCACCACAGCGACGATTGATAAGAAAAAAGTGATGCTCGTAACTCTGCCGGTGTATTCTAAAGAGAAAGAGAAAGAAGAAAAAGAAAAGGGCAGTCTCCATCTTTGGCTGACGGACAACACGCACATTGTCGATATTGGGCCGGTATCCGATGATGACGTTGCCGCCAGCTCCCTGCTGTACAAAAGTGGTGAAAGTGGAAGTGGCGATAATAATGGGGAGAAGTTGATTGCACTGTACGAGAAGAAGGAGAGCGGTGATGAGGACGCATCACTCGGTATGGCTTCTGTGCTTCTGACTGCGCAGCTGGAGAAGGTGAAGGAGGTGCTGAAAAC